CTAACTACCATTGTTAAAGTTCCTTAGGCAATACTCAATGAAATGAAGTGTTACACAGCCACGACATGCATGTCGACTCACTCAACAACCAACCATATCCATCGTATGAATCCCTTGAAAGAGGTCACTTCTTTCACCTATATATCTAAGCAGCATCCTGTCAAATACAGGCGACGGAACAGATGAGGAGGTCAAAATCAGGAGCATTAGAAAGACAAGCCAGACTTTTATCACTCTGAAATCAGTTTGGAAATCCACTGTACTCAGCATGAAGAATGGAATTCGAACTTTCAGTTCGTCTATATGGGCGAGAAACTTGATGCTCACGTCGCGAAACGCAAGCCAACAGACCACTGCAGACTTTTATCAACAAAACTATCATCGCCACCTCCATACTGAAGATCAGATGGTCGGCCAGAAAGAATTAGCAACAAGAAAACTCTTACAAACGAACCAATCAAGAACACACTACTCAACAAATATCCCCGAAGGAAATGAAGACAAGTTGGACGCGTTCTAAAAAGACTGTTGAGTGACATCGAACACCAGGCCATCACTCGAGTGAAACTCGAATAGGAAACGATGAATTAGGCGTTTGTTCGAGGATGACATAGAGGAGATCGTGTGAAGAAGAGATGAGAGATTAAGGTTGGCCATTATGGAGCCAGTTAAAGAGGACTGTAGATGACAGGACAAAATGAACATGTGCTGTTGAAACCCTATGTTCCACTGGAACCCAAGGGAATAATAAATAATAACAATAAATCGCATGAAGCCCAGCGATACTACGTGAAGACATAAGCCTTGATGAATGAGCCTGAATTCGAACTTTCTTCATGTACCTATTATCTGATTCAGATTTGCCTCCTAACATGTAAAACAACATCTTCTGGCATATTTCTGACGCCTCTGATATTTCCACCAATACCATTGACAGAATAAAAGAAAAGCTTCACATCTTATCTCAAAAGAATTTCACTCACTGTCTTTTATGCAATCTTTATGACAGACAAAAAAAAACTTCCACACGTACCTACTTTATTTGTGCAGCCAAAAGAGGAGAGAAGAAATAACGCCTACTTGTAAACGTCACATTTGAAGTACACAACACTACTACTCTTTTATAACTAAAAGAAAAAAAACTGATTTCTAACGTTAATCGGTAAGCATGTGTGTGTGTTTGTGTTTAGGTTGAAACTCTATAAATGAGATCTTTACGCGTACACACAAGAAACTATTGCATTTGGGTGTGTTACAGAGAAACAAATAAAGCAGAAGCATAGAAGAAAATTTTACATACACGTACACACAGATTTTGAATATATGTAGTCATCAAAATACTTTGTAGATGAGCTTATCCAATTGAGATTTTCATTAATTAATTTCATACTATCGCATATAACCATCTCAGTGAATCATATATACGTGAAAATATGAGTGTATTAACTCAATGAGACTTAGTGATTATCACAAAATATGTTAAGTTTAAAATAAGCTAAGCTAATTGCTTAAGCCTGAATTAAATTTTCCGACTGTTGAACTTTTCCCTCTCCCCTTGAAACCAGAAAGATAGACAGAATGTTGGACGGAAGCTCAGGAGTGTTACGATATCAGCGCGTCACCATTTAGGTACTGAGTTGGAATGGAATGGTCGACCTACTTAGTGATGGAACTTCAATTCAATTTCATTACTAAAAAAGTATCCATAAAATTCGCTTTAATAAACATTTAAAATCTTCGGTCAGCTGCTGACTAGCTTCATTAGTTTCGAAATGGATTTGCCGGAGTTGTAATTGGACGTCGTAGCCAGCGAAGTCAGCACAAATACTCGTATATTATTATATATTATTATTATTATTCCCTTGGGTTCCAGTGGAACATAGGGTTTCAACAGCACATGCTCATTTTGTCCTGTCATCTACAGTCCTCTTTAACTGGCTCCATAATGGCCAACCTTAATCTCTCATCTCTTCTTCACACGATCTCCTCTATGTCATCCTCGAATAAACGCCTAATTCATCGTTTCCTATTCGAGTTTCACTCGAGTGATGGCCTGGTGTTCGATGTCACTCAACAGTCTTTTTAGAACGCGTCCAATTTGTCTCCATTTTCTTCGGGGATATTTGTTGAGTAGTGTATTCTTCAGTATGGAGCTGGCGAAGGCAGCTGTTGATAAAATACTCGTATGCGAGAACAGATAATCACGGTGTCGAATAGACAAAAGTTAAAGTCTTGAGGCTGTTGGATTCCAAGCCAGAGACTGGATGATGACATATTTCCTCCTCCGCCTCTCACGTCTCTATGACATGACAGTTCTTGACTAAATTTCTTGCGTAATTGTGAGTACACTGAAGAAGATTACTGTTATACAATTCCATATACTAGATAAGTTTATTTGATATAACACAGTATTAATAACTGGATGACGCTTCCAGTACAAATTATTGTTCATAATCATATCAATGTATTATTCACACAGCTTCACAATTTGCTTCATTTTCTGTATGGACGTCGTGTCACCTCCACCATTGCACCTATCTGGTGTTGATTCGATGAACAAAGGACTGTTACTAACTCTCTCTCTCTCCCTCTCCACCTAAGATTTTGAAATTTGAAACGAAGGGTATTGGGTTCAGGTGTCAGTGGGAACACTGTCACGAACTCACTCACTAGGGAGGATTGTAGCTACATCAGTTGACAAAGTTTGCCTTGAAACTAAGCAAATGACCACAGAAGTCAACAACTGACTCTCGCGTTAGCCACACGTAATAGTAATATACCTCAAGATAATCTACCTGTTTAGATTATTAGGATGTTTTGTTGTCAGTCAGTGAGTGTTACATATCCGTTCAATGTTTAAGCGTGTGCTCATATATATCATAAAATCTAAACAATTCAGTAGTAAGTTGAACAGGCATATGCAAATATGAACAATCATTAAGTAGTGATTAGTAACATATACTAAATGAACTATTCATCCATCTACGTGTGACGGATCAATAGCACTGACAAAAAAATGAATTAACAATCCACAAACCTCCTCACATTAACCACCTCTTTATTTCTATCATGGTTACTGTGTGGTTGTGTGTATCTGTGCGTGTATGTGTGTGATCATGTATCTACTTATTTCATCATAAGAAAAGTGACTTGTCTTGACTTTTATCGTCTGTCAATCGATTAGAGATAACGAAAAACCTGTCACAATGCACGTTTTCATAATGAAAGAAAATTAATATAAGTAACATTGGAAAAGTGACGTTCAGTTCCCGGAGGAATCAAATAAGACAATGCAGTATATTCATCAAATAAAAGCAGACACATTTTACTAATAGCACTTTATTTTTATTCTACAGCTAGTGAAGCTACGTCGACTGAGATGGCTAGAACGTGTTACAGATGCCTAACCCTCCACTGGCAATGTTAGCTGATATAGGGTGGATCAGGATGGAAAAGAGCTAGTGGTGGTCAAACCAAAACATGCCATCAGTCCATGGGATCTTTAACAGTTAGCCCGAGGCACGTAGGGAGGTGCAGACTGCATAGTTGGGGTCCTTGAGATTCTAAGAACCAATGGCTGGAGACAACCGGTGATATGACTCTAAATCGTTCTGATTGGTAGATGCCACATCCATCTAATCCTATTGTTTCTCCATGTTACTAATTTGTCTCCCTCACATTTCTGCTTGTTTTAGTCATTTTGAATCTCTTTTTCCTCTCTTCTTTTCTGCCTTTGTGCGCGTTATGGAGTGTGGCAACTTGAACTGCTGTACTTTTGTGCGAAGTTAGTTCTATGCTAAAAGTCATTCAGTCAGTCAGTAGGACTGTACAAAAGTCGGTCAGCTGAAGCTGGTGCACTTCATAGAAGCACATATAAAGACAGGGGAAAGCAGTAAAATTGAATTACAATGAATGAAAATGAAAAGAATGTGTAGATAAAGATCGCTGAGAATTTTCAGAATATTGAAAATAATAAGGCATGAATAGTTCCGGGATGTTGAGAACGCTTATTAACTATTTCATAAAACACCTCAAACCAATTATTTTTACCACTTCGTCACAACTCAGTTGCCTGGAACAAAATTTTCATGTGCCAGGATATAAGCTAGACTTATTGTGTGAGGGCTGATGATGCTACCCAGTTGCTAAGGTTGAAATAGGCTGAGGCGTGATATGTACCTGAGACTTACTGGCCGATAGTCAAGAGCTTACATTTCGAGGAACCCATTAAGGTGATGCAAAAATAAAATGTATCTATAGGACAGTAAACGCAGGTGTACGGAATAGATGATGATCTACTGATGGACAATGAGTGTGTTCAGGACTTCCAAAACGTCGAGATGTGAAAGCATCTCCACCAGGAGAAATAGTTTTCCGTCATACCGACAAGAGATATTACATTAGACTGAAAGAAACTGGAGCACAGTCAAATCAGGAAGTGATATCAAACCGTTGGTTTGAGTATAGATTCCTTATTCTAAGTCTACATAGCCATCAGGACCCATGATTGTAGACTCTTGGTGATGTGACTAATGGACAATCATATACGCGTGTATATCTTATATTCATTTAATTACAATATTACATTTCTGTTAACTGCACATTCTCATTTCCATCGCAAAGCATTTCACGACTTTTAGTTATTTCATTTTCATTTTCCTTGCATGTCATTCACTATGATTTCTTCTCCCACAGTAGGCACATAGATCAAAACTCATGTGACTAGTATGGGGAAATAATTAGGAACTGTGTACACTGACGGATTGTTGAGCTTTATAACAACGAAAAACAACAGCTTCGTGATAGACATTGACACAATTTAATTATAAAGTAGTTACTCATTCAGGACTTTCAACCCGTAGGCCACAAAATCCAAAACCGTGTGTGTGTGTGTGTCACAAAAGAATCAGTTGTACTTCTTTCTACATAGTTCATAAATCAGCGTAACTTTATAAAGAATAAAAGGTGAGTGTAAAGACAAGTTTTGTACAACAACTTACCTCGTAAAATTCCTTTGCATCATTACGATGCTCCAGTAAGGCCAATTTAAGAGACGTAGTTCGTCTTTCTAGATCTGAGGTAGAGAAGCGTTCATCCGAATTTAGTGGGAAAGAACTTGATTGATGCAACAAAACGCATAAATCACTTGAGACTGATGTCAGCATTGTCTCGACATTATTAACTTGAGAATATATATTATTAATATGATCCTGTAGACGTTTCTTTAGAGATTCCATAATCTCCAGACGGCTGCTCTCCTCTACTGTAAGAATATTTTGACGAGACAAACGTCTCACTGTGTCATATTTTACATTATGATCACTAGATATATGATCTTGTCCAGAAACTGGTAGGGAAAGTGACTGCTGTTGTGCTTGAATGCAGCTAGTTCGTGATGCATTACGCTTGACTTTTACTCTTCTCAACTTTTCACCAAAACAACTTGAATTGCCTAAATGATCATTTGAACACGATTGGTTAGGACATTCACAGTTGTTTTGTAATGCAGAGTGAGTGTTATTCGGTTGAGGTAGAGCTGGTGAACTAGTTGTTTTAAAGTCGAGTTTTGATCTACCCTTGAGATTAAATCTGAAAGAATTTCGGGAACGATTGTTTCCACTTTCTGATCGAGGTACATTAAACGCTGAGTAATCAGATTCAAGTTCTGAAAAATATTGACAATAATATTTATTATTCATTTCTGCGTGATTACTTATGGTGGAACTGAAACAAAACTTCAGTATATGCTAAAAATGTTTCGGTGAATAAAGTCGTGAAGTCAGTGTTTTTCAAATTTATAGAATGACTTCTTATTTTAGCCATGTATATAAATTAATACTTTCATAAATAATGTGTGAAACGACATGGACGCCTTATTCAGGATAGCAGACAACAATTAAACTAGTCTAATTGGTAGTGACCACTTTTCCGACCAGGTGAAGAGAAGTCAATTATGGATAAAATTTATTTTGATGAAGTCACAGTGTTATGCAGTAATATTTACTAACATTTCGAGCACAATTTATTGCCAATAAGCCCCTTGATATCATTATGAGCACTAAATTGTGATCGAAACGTCGTCAGTAAATATTACTGTATAACACTGTGTGACTTTATCAAAATAAATTTTATCCATAATGAAGAGAAGTCAATTCCTTGGGTGAATCAAAACCGATTACTAGAGAATAGATGATGTACCTCGCGTGTGACCATAATCCACTTACACCTTAAGGAGTTGGCTTGCTGGTTGTCCACAGGAAACGCCTGTTATATCCTTAACAGTACAAATTCGCTCACAGACCCCCAAACATAGTGTGACTGATGAAAGTAATTGCTTTAAGTCTAACCGCTATCCAAACTACTTTTTAATCGTGGTAAGACTTGTAGGAACATCTGTTCCCACCAATATAGCTCGTTGGGTCAATGTGACATGTAAATCTGACCACAACGTCAAGGTATCAGCTGTCGTTTGAGCGAATTGTGATTTTAAGTGACTGATTTCCCGACGTGGAACTTCACACTAAAGTGCAGCAGTTCAAGTTGATGTACCCATATAGCACACAAAATTAGAGAGAACAAACTACGAAGGAACTAAAATCAAAGAAAATCTATAGAAGAAATAATAATCACATGGAGAATAATGAGGATTTGTTGAGTCTCGGGGTCCATAGATGGAATGTATCTGCGTCACTGACAACGATTTTGTGCCATGACACCAAACATCCCCGGTAGTTAATTCTTGGTGTCTCGAGGACCCACTTCAGGCAGCCTAAACCTCTTTGAAAGGTTAGAACCAAGAGTCAAAGACTTTGTGGATTGCTGCTAGGTGAACAAGATTGTGATATTGTGGACCATCACTCAATTAATTTCTTCTTTTTTGATAACTTCCCATTTCCAATTTGCTTGTTTCTTTTCACATTACTATCTATCACAATATTAATGTGAGATGCAAAACACTAGGGTAGGTATAAAGTAACTGTAAGCATATTTTAGTGACAATAGGTAATGTAAAGAAATGCTGATTTTTAGCATATTTTCGCATTACAGTTAATTGTTTACTGCACTGATAACTGAAGTACGAGAGAAAACAATAATTTTTTCAAAATATTACTGAACAGGTCCTAAAGATCAAGATATGTGTATTCAAATGAATATTTTTGCGAGTAATAAATGCCAATGGTGATGTTTTCAGTGTTTTAAGCAAATAACTAACGAATTGAAAAAATTTAGCGAGATTTGTACTACAACAAACCAATTTAAACTGACTGACTGAGTTCAAGTTAGCATACTCCACATATCTTAATTAACTCAGATTTAATTCTCGTCAAGAATCAAAAGTAGTGAAAGTAACACTGAAAAATAATACTGGGTAGGTGCTTTAACCTAGGTTGGCACTTTTTAGCAAAACATGTACAAGATGAAGACCAAAAATGTCAGTTTCTGTGGTAAGAACAGTTTTTACTGTGACTTCCTCGAATTTCCTTCACTAATGAAAGTATCCAAGATACGGTTTATATGTCATAAAGAGTAAATGGAAATACTACTAATCCAGTTCACTTCTGCTAGAATTCTAGAATACTGTAAGTATTGACAACTGGTTAAATGTAATACACATAAAACAGTCTCCAAACAAGGGGGGCTGTGGATCAACTTTTCTGCTCTTCCAACACAAAAACATTATACTAGTCTGAATTGATATTTTCTTAGAGGAAGAAGCCTAAGAGACTACTGAGTGTTGAATTACCCTACAACAATGTCCAAATTCTAATACTAATCTCTAAAATAACTTTTCTATTTCAAATGAGTTCCTCTCTCAGCTAAAATCTCTACAGTCCATCACTTTTCTCAGCACTTTAAGTCGTCTGGAAAAAACACTGATGACGACCTGCTGATGTTTTTGGATAAGGCAATAGTGAAGTTTGAGGAATATCCTGACAAAACTGTCAACAAGGGCAATATCGGAGCTTTTCAGTTGCCAGCAGAACCCCTGTGAATTGAGATACACGCCATGGACTCTTCACTGTTTGAAGCCAAACATGTGAGAGTAACTTCAATTTGGTCATAATATCCAGACTATTTACAAGTGCACTGACATATTTGTTTAAAAATCCCACCTCGCTCAACAACTATAATATTCATGTGCACTGATTCCCAAAAAATATACTTGTTTTGCTCTGCGAAACATACAAATGTCTATGTGAGAATGTGGGTAATTTCAGGATTTCATCAAAGATACAAGAAAGATTAGTTAATGATAGGATTTTATGGAATGAAAGTTTAGATCGATTCCATTAAAAACTAGACACTAGACTAGTCAGTCACGGACTCAAATTTATTCAAATGATCAGTTCACATAAATCATGTGTGATTATAAGACTTAAATTCAAGTGCTAAGTAATGTATAAAATAATGAGAAACTATCTCATTAACCTAAAATTCAACATTCGTGTATATCATTGCATGAAATTACAAAGACAAATAAGGTCAACTACGAATGACATTAAAAAGGAATGAAAAACTTACCTGTCTGAACGCTTTGAGATCTAGATATAAGATCTGTGAGTGCAGAAACCCATTTTTCTTTGTCTTCCTCTGTTAGAGCTTTCAAATGGTGTTTCCTGCCCGAACTTTCAATAAGAATGAATGATGTTTGAGCTTCGGGTGCACATATATGTGCATTAGACAAATCAAAAGTTCCACGACAATGTCTTCCTACTGCATCTGGCTCTCTTAAGGACTAAATGTTACAAAAATTCACCTACCTATAGTAACTCAGTAAATTATCTTGAATTAGGAACCACCGCTTTTTGTAACCTTTAATTAAGTTCGTCCACTTAAAAAGCCACCCCGAAACAGGTTCTGTATTGTTCATTATCGCCCACACATCGTCAAGAACAGAAAAAAGGCGAAACCGCGGGGTAGCGTAACTGTTTATGTAACGCGGAATTCCTTCGACAACTTCCAATTTACAAAATCGGTCTGACCTTAAATATCACGTTCTGTTAAAATTTCACTTCAAAAAATTTTTTGGTCAATAATTTTTAATCAAATTGTGTTATATGTTATCTGGATTGATGGGAATTCCCATTTTCTGGCCAGTCATGTTGGTGTCCGCGTCATGTAATCCGACTACGACACCCCCTAGCATATTGGTTGCAACAATCAGGCGAACTGTAGCAAAATATCGCTATAATGAGAAAGGATAGTTGAAGGGCAATGTCATCTACACAAATAGTCTACTTTATTTAGAAGCTGCACCTTTCAACATGGTATCATTCAATGGAGACTTCACGTCTCAGGATATTAATTCAGCCTATTTTCGTGTGAAGAACAGTCCTTTTTGACAAAAGAATTCTATCAGTACTTGGAAATCACCTGTAAATGCTAACAGAACCTTCTGTGGGAATAGAAGTAATCATGTAGATGTGTTTCACCGTGTGTTTGGACAGGAATTATCGTAAGTTGAGAGGCTATTTCTAAGTGTATTTCATGTATATTTGCACTATTTGGTGTAGCGTAATATGAGTTATGTGGACTCAATGTATAAAAAATATCTCACTCACCAGATCATTGTATTTTATTCATTTTGTAAATCGTTTTGCAACATATCGAGTGGCTGTTAACACTAGCTCTACTAAAGGCAGTCCTGGTTCATGCATTTGGATCTAGTACATTAAGCACTAATAAGCATACATAACACTTACCTTTTAGGGGTTCCAGTTTCTTTTAGTTCCCAAAAATATACACACAAGCACAACAGATTCATACTTCTCATGTGGCTCAAACTTGTTTGATTTAGATTCTCTCACTATATATATAACTGTCTTTTTAACTGATTACAGACACACTGATGGTAATTCATCTTCTCGAAAAGCTTTAAAGCTTTCTTCAAACCAGATTCTAACCCAGCTAGTAACGATTTCGGGCGCACTGCAGACTTTCTGGGGCAGGCTTAGGGGCACTGTTCTACGTAAGTAGATGCGCCCGAAGGTTTTTGCCCCAAAAAATAATGCTAGCTGGGAAATTCTCAAGGTTTAATATGGTCTTCGAAAAACTTGCTAATATCAACCCTGATCATGCTCTCTTCACCAGATTCACTCGTAGATTGTTGCACGCTGTAAACATGAATGTGAAAGACATTTTTTTCCAGATTTCTACATGTTAAGTAAGCAACTGAGCCAGCAACAATAACCGCAACCAACAGCTTAAGCTGTTGTTTCTGCCACCCAAACATGTTCATGTGCACAATTTCCAAAACTTCTACACAGTACTAATTCATTAATAGCTGAAAAACAACTAAAACCCTGAAACCATGCATGAAATGAATGCACTGACTTTCGAAACAAACGAAATAACTAATTTAAACAGAAACGGAAACAATAATGAAGTGAAACGCAACATTTGTGAACAAAGTGCATCAAGATAAGTTGTGAATAACTGCTGGATAAACGGAAAAACCAATGTGTAAACGAACAGCTACGGAACTGCAATCCAACATGGCCGACTAACATGGACGAAAAATGACCTTTGAGCGTCTCACTCCATCAATGACCTTGTACGTGACGTTTAATTTCAGTCCAAAATCGTACTTACTTCTCGGTTGTAAAGTAAAGATTTTAGAACATTGGTAATTTCCTGCATAGTGTGCTCAACCATTCCAATTTTACTTACTCCGAGAGGAACGGAGTAGGTAAGAGTTTTAAGTTATTTGCAGCATACTCATAAAGGCCGTATTACCATTATGATTTCATTTGACCTTTCATCTGTTATTCTTTCGGTTTAGTGGAAAGAAGAGACTGTAATAACAGAAGACACAATCAGTGCAGACTAGGCAGACTTAGACAAGAGAAATTTGCAAGAATATAAGTAATGAGGTTTAATAAATAAAATTGATGAAATAGTAAAATGAGCGAGTGAGTAATCAAATTGGTCAGAAGATTGAGACAAGAGGGAATAGATAGTGAAAAAGGACAAATTTAGATATGTACCCATTAGTAGGATGTAGTGCTTGAGTTCCATGCTTACAGCCTATTTGTACACAGTCCATATTTTGCTGCGTGTATATAGGACCCCTGTTTATAACATTCCACAGAAGACGCCGTAACCACATCTGCTTGTAAAGTGCTCCACAGATGGCAAACCTAAGGGAAAGAAAGTGGGAGTACGCTTTAGTCTTTGTTCTCTGATGAGCCATCCACAAGTAAGCCCATAATGGCTTAATGAGAAAATATCATTGTTTAGGTTATTCCGGCCATTTGTATTCTTGTAATCAGCAATTAGGCCACTTCTAACGCAATTTGCGAACTTTTGGATAGTGCACAAAAAAGACAAGTGTGGACTGATTTGAATGAAGCTATCCAGGTTACTCTAACACACCTGCTTATTAAAACTATGAAATGCCCACCAACTGATATTCCTATTATCCTTAACACTGAAGATAACTAAAGATTAAGGCGAAAGTATTTGGGGTTACTCCCGGCAGAAATTAAACGCCATGTGCAAGGTCATTGATGGAGTGAGACGCTCGAAGGTCATTTTCGTCCATGTTAGTCGGCCGTGTTGGATTGCAGTTCCGTTGCTGTTCGTTTACACATCGATTTTTCCGTTTATCCAGCACTTATTCACCACGTATCTTGATGCACATTGTTAACAAATGTTGCGTTTCACTTCATTATTGTTTCCGTTTTTGTTAAAATTAGTTATTTCGTTTGTTTGGAAAGTTTTTACCAGCAGGTCAGTGCATTCATTTCATTGTAATTGTTTCATACGTTGCATTCATGCATGGTTTCAGGTTTTTAGTTGTTTTTCAGCTATTAATGAATTAGTACTTTGTAGAAATCTTGGAGATCATGCACGTGAACATGTTTGGGAAGCAGAAGCCATTGTTTCCAGTTCATTTTTGGTTGCCGTTATTGCTGCTGGCTCAGTTGGTTACTTAATATGTAGGAATCTGGAAAAAAATGTCTCTCACGTTCATGTTTGCAGCATGCAACAATCTACGAATGAATCCGGTCAAGAGAGCACCATCAGGGTTGATATTAGCAAACTTTTCGAAGAACTAGTTAAACCCAGAGAATTTAGAACCTGGTTTGAAGTTTAAAAAGCTTTGGAGCCTTTTGACAAGGTGTCTGTTGTCAGCTAAAAAATCAGATATATGATGAGAGAATCAAAATCAAGCAAGGATGAGCCACATGTGGAGAATGAATGTGTAATGTTTGTATGTACTTTTGGAAGCAATAGGAAATCCCTAAATGATTGTTAATGTACTAGATCCAAACGCACGAACTAGGACTGCCTGTAGTAAACGCGGTGTTAACAACCATTTTATTTGTTTCAAAAGGATTTGAAAAGCGGATAACGTACGATGATCTGGTGTGTTCGGTAAGAATTTAACTAGCAAGAATAACGTTCCACATTTTGGTCTACAATCGGTGGTTTTTTCGAAGTTGCAGCAAGCTGAGAAGCTGATTATTATTCGGGGTGAAAAAATTGGCTGGTTACAAATTGCTTGTTTCAGTTCAAATAATGAAATTCTTATTTTTTGGATGCTTGTGATTTCTCCGTGGCTATAAACACGGTTGCCCATGATTTATAAGAAAACTTTAAATAAATTTTCCTTGAACCAATGGTCTTCTTTTTTTGGCGAAGCATCTATTGAGACGATTAGGTAACAAAGTAGAATGTTCTGTGGTTGAGAATCGTAGTCGTTGTGTTTCGGATTTATATCGCGCATCTAATTGCTATAATCCTATGAATAAAGCTTTTTCCTCATGGCGCATTAGTACATCTATAAACCGTAAGCACACTGCCTTCGATAAATTTATTTTTACTTTTTAAATGACAGCAAATAGTGAGTCATTTGAGGCGATAGGATAAATACCTCTAAACGCTTTCGTGAAGAGATTAGGATATGTTTATTTTCTCGACTAGGAGACGATCTTTTTACCCAGAAAGCTCTCAGGATGTCCGCTTTTACTTTGTAATTCAAAGATAACGTTGAGTTGCTCACTTAGGTAGTGGCAAGGGGGTAGCTTTAGGTAATGCGTCATAGAAGTCAGCAGTGTATGTCTATTGTGTCTAAATATATTAAACGTTGTAAAGCCGGTCAAATCGTAGTTCTCACATATGAGTTAGTTTTTTAAATAATGAGTGTACCGTGCTAGCGTTTGTGCTCGAAACGTCATCAGTTAATATAACTGTACAACACTGTCTGATTTATCAAAATAAAACCTTATCCATAATGGAGTTATACTCTACCACAGTGCCCAAGTTTTATACTTATATCAGCGTTTACCTTGGTTTGCATACCTAGCTCATGTATGCGTGCGATATACATTTAAGGCTAATACGCTGTTTGATGAATTAGTCCGAGATACTTAAAGTCAGACTTGAGCTCTATATCACTGTCATCAATTTTGCAGCGGTCATAGGAATTAACAGCTTCACCTGACTTACTCTTACATCGGAAACTGAAATTGACAGTCTGACATTTGGAAGGATTTAGTTTAAAAACATTTTCTGACTCCTGATAGAGAGCTGTTCATCTTAGTACAGTGTAGATGCGAATTAAAAGACACTGGAATAGTTAGTCCGCGCACTTGACATATTTCATTTCGTATGCGTATGTACACTAAGTTCGTCAAACAAAAATACAATTGGTAGTGCACGACAGTAATGGAGAAAATGTTGTGATGCAAGACTGCAGCTGCATCTAAAATTCTCCTACTTTGTTTATAGGCGAATCATTTGAGATCGTTAAAGGCTTTAAGTGAGGGTTGAAGAATAAGTAGGAGTAACTTTTCCATAGCTTATAAGAAAGGGTAGGTAATAACAATAAGTCTAAATTTAAAGCATGCTCCATTAGGCGACTTAGGTATAGGTACAATTTTAAAGTTCTTCCAAACGTCTGGCACAACATTTCTGGAAAAAGATTCATTAAATATGTGA